GAGGGTGCAGTGCTTTAAAATATGGGTTAGGCTATGAGTTTGGTTTTAAGATAAAAATATGTTCTTCGCAGAACGGCGAATGAATAGCGTGTGAATAATCACATAGGTCAGATATCCCACGTGTCCTTCGTCTTTTTCTGTTTTTCGCAAATGCCTATAATGATGGCCGATGATAATTTTCTCGTGGGTTTTGTCCGATCCTGTCAGATACAGATCACATCGTCTAAATCTGTAGCGCAGGATAACGACGATCTTGTGTATAGTGCAAAATAATTTGAAATATTAATGAGTACATGTATATAGGTGCATTTATTTGGCACGGGTTTATTATCTTACGGCTACAGTAAATATACACAATTTAATATGATATAATTTATTCATTTGTTATTATTTATGAAAATACCTAGATATATACCGAGTACACCGTATACGGTGGTAACAACTGCAATGAACAATATTATGTCCAATTTTAATGGCCGTGTAGTAGAGAAATGTTTTCACTGTTCGGAAATCGAGCACGATGAACAAAGGTCTGCACGGTAGAACATGACTCAAATTAACTGTAATAATTAGAATATTTCTAAATTGAAAAAGTGTAAGCAATAAAATACCTGCTGAAAACTAACAATACATTAGTGATTAGTCTCACATTATATAGGAACAAGAAAAGGTGAACGTTTTTAATACTTCCACTTTTGTTGTATCAACTCGTCGATTACCTACGGAGTTTTTTAATCTATTTTTGAATAATACATCCTAGAATTTATATTTCAATTCGCTTTTAATCTTCTTATTTTTCACCACTTTTTTCGCCCTAACCTACTAAATTACAGAATGAATTTTTCGTTAGGTTATAATAATAACACTCGTCAGTCGTAATTTCGTTTTGTGCATATATTTTAGGTACAGCATTGCCCAATGAGCTTCCTAATTTCTTCTTGCCGTACCTACCATAAAATGCATAACAAGCAGTGAACGGCCTTGATATATAGGTACTAATATAGAATAATACAAAAATACGGGTAATCTAACGAGTTTAAAATCGCGTTTTCCGGAGGGTGGCCGTATGGCCTTGCATTCTCGACCGTTGATCGAAAAGAATAAAACCGAATAAAAATAAACTATTGGTAAGGTACATAAATATCACACACACGCATATATAGTGACACAACATCGCTCCACGTGCAAAAACAAAAGACACACACACACACACACACATCCGATGGAATTGACGCGTGTCAAGTCTCACCCGCGGGTCACGCCGCACCAACAACAACAACAACATGGTCGGATAATATATTTTGATTAATTAAATTTTTTAATGATTTTCGAACTTGCAGCAGAGGCGAATGGCGCAAAATCGATGGTAGTTGCGGCGAAAACACCGAACATAATACCTTTTACGGTATAGGTAACGTGTACCTATTAAAATAAAATAAAATAAAATAATAGGTATGTTAATGTTGAGCTGCAAGCTCTTATTCGCGTTTGACACTCGTCGCAGATTTCGAACACTCGAAATTTTTTAAAAATTAACAACATTAACATACAGCTGCAGCGAATGAATGAACTATATACTATTATGGTATATTATACTCAAATAATACGACCAAATCCCTAACCTCACCAACGTTGTGAGCAGAAAAATAAATGTAGGGGAACCTGAATAGTCTTCCAAGATTACGTCAATATAATTAATACATACAATAATAGTTTTGTCATAATTACTATATTATTGTTCATTACAACTTCATTAAGAAAATAATAAATATAATTTACAGGACAATATCCGTACTATTTTTTAATAATAGTGTTATAACGCTGTTAATATATTTATATATATTATTTTTAGGAAATTGTACTGTAAATCAAATTTGTTATTTTCTCAAAGAAGTTTCAATAAATATTAGTTCTATATTACATACACTAAATACCTCTATATTAATAATAATATAACAACGATTCGGTATATAAATTATTATGCTTATTAACTATACAGGGTGTAAAAGAAAGACAAAGAGAAACGAAATAAATTTTATTTACACTGAAAGTACAATATATACAATATATATTTTTTAATTACTATTATTATAAAGGCCACTAATGTGTTACTATGATAACTTAGCAATTACATATTATATATATATATATTAATACCAACAATTTTAAATTTTATTAATTTTTTTTTAGAAAAATTCAAAATAGTCAATTTGCAAACTATATTTTGAAAAAATTTTGATTTTAAAAAGTTTAGTAGCTTAATTTTTACAAAATGTTTTATAGTAATTGATTTGTATAACGTAATCATTTTTTTTAAATATTCTTTTTGAGGATTTTTTTTTTGTCAGTTATTTCTGTTATACCCTGCATATTAACGTAACCACTTACATTGTTTATTTTAGAAAAGTTTATAAAACACTTTTTAATTTTTTGTCGGAGGCAACTACATTTATATACGAGGGATTTGGATTACCCTTTGTTTTTTTCTAATGTGATTTTATAATCAGAACTTTACAATAAACATTATTGTTATTACAGTTTTCCAATACAAGTTCAATAAAACTTTCAGAAAACCCTAGAGGTTTTTTTTCCATACACTGCTCGCAGCTTTAATTTCCTTCTCGGAGATATGGACGATATGTCCATACCAGCTGCTATGACTTTTTTGGCGTAATCTAAAGACTTCATTATTTTTTCGCCTTAAGATGGACTGCTATTCTTCTAAAGTTCATTAATTTTGAATGAATAAATATGAATGCAGTAAAAACGTGGCTGTATTAAAGACACTTGTACGCAGAAAATTACATTAGCCTACGAAATAATTTTAATAATATTTATTTTGGCCCGGAGAATCGCAAATCCTAAGGACAGCCCTGCGCCTGTAACACGTGCCACGACTCGAGCTCAGTCTATAGTGTGTCCCACATCGACGTAATTAAAGTGCATTACCATTAATTGTCCAACATTTTGAGTTGATTTGTTAGCACCTTTATAATACGATATATACCGATATCATAGATATAAAACATGTTTTCCCTGTCAAGCAATATAATAAATGATTATATTAACTTTTTTAAATTATATTTGAAAGTATATATCTATAGATACGAGGGTTGTATACGTTCAAACGGTATAATTAATTCGATATACACGTGGTGAAAAGGTTTATATTATAAGAACAGTATAACGACATAAATTTTTATTTTATACGCTTTTCGGCTATTCAGTGAAATATTATTATTGCAGCGATATATCTGCCACGCCATCTATTCGTCCAAAATAGAACCGTCACGGTGAACAAATTGTTATTCTATGTTGCCGACTTTTTTTTTTTGCAGAACATAAATAAGCTCTAAATCGACCGCATTTGAAAGTTAAAAGCCCCTACACACAATATGATCTGGTCGGGCCGACAGATAGCCTGACCAAATCAGGTGTTGTGTACAGACGACACGACCTCTGCACGACTTGATCAGATGAATTTTAATTCCACTAGTGCAGTAGTTGGAACGGCCACCTGACAAGACCCGACAGGATCATAGTCAGATGACAAGTCTACACACGACCTGATACGACGTCCGACCTGACCAAATTATCCTGTCGGCCAGACCAGATCATATTGTGTGTAGAGGGCCTTAAATATTAACTTTTTATCATACATGACACCGTCAACATTACATTTTTATATTATTTCTGGTATTTCTATATAATACGTATTATTTAAAATTTATATATTATCCGTTTCTGTTAAGTTTAAAAATATAACAATTTTAGTACGTCTATAAATGGTTTCTTACATTTTATTAAATCATATTTAGTGATTTTCTTAGGATTTTCGATACTCTTTATGTTTATCTTAAATGTTTTTTTTCCTTTAGTGTTTCATAGCTCTACAAAGTCATAACCCGGTTCTTAGTATATTACAATATTACAATTGATTTATGTTGGCTGAGAGATAATTCACTGAATTTTTTTACTATAAAGGTTCGCATGTTGCTAGAACGGTTAACGGGAATAACCAAAGGGTGGTTAAATGATGTTACATATTATTAGCACACCCGTTAATTTTCTGGTTTAGTATACCATTAATACAACAAATATATTCAAGTCCTGAACAATTAGCGCTTTGAATTGTATAGAATGAAATGCAAATGATAAATCAAATGTATCTATGTACAACGGGTCTCAATCTTATTAAACTTAATTTCCTGTAGAAGCCACCTGTAATTTTTTACATACAAAATGTGAGTTTCATTAGTGCGTATTGTTATACCTACCTTAAGCAATAACATCTGTAAGCTCCACTGATATGATTATTATTAGAAACTTAAACTCGATTGTAAATTTTTTTTTTTAAATTAAATTGTTTTTAAGAAACAACCGCAATCACTCTGAAGACTCCTCAAAAGGGAGTTCAAATAAACTTAAATTTTTATTTTCCGTCGTTTTTTCAGAATACAGATTTATGTATAGATAACCTATGTGTCTGTGCGTTTTCTATGATAAGGAACAAATGTTAATGAATGAGGACCAATGATAAGTATAATTGACATAAACCTATAGCCACCCCATACATTTAACCCAAATCGCACCTGTGTGATTATATCGGGTGGTGGCTAAAACTTAACGCGCAAGTGAAGCAAGCAAAACGGGGAGGTGCATAGTGACTAAATAATAAAAACAAATTGTCAGTAGTGTTGTTGTTATTATTATTGAGTTTGTATGACAGTGCGTATGACAGTATAATATGTTGTGTGGAGAATAAATCGAGGGAAAATATTATTCGAACGATGTGCCACAAAATACTATAAAATTGTATTGGATAATTTTATACCAACGTATACGTGATTACTCGGACGGTTCACCTGTTTCATAGAATAGATACGCATATGACCCGTCTGTATATTGTTCCTCTGTGGACTATATTATACTGTAACGTAATATCATTAACGTCGACAACATTAATGATGACCTATGTACCGGTGTTTGCGGTGTTACAGGTACACGACGTACTTGAACCGGAGGAACGCGCTGCTCGGCATCGCTGGCGTCTGGGCGCTGGCCGCGTTCGTGTCCGTGGTGCCCATCTGCATACTGAGCATACACCGGCCGCCGAAGCCGGTGGTGTTCCACGCGGGCGACACCGAGTACATGAGGTGCGCGCTGGACCTGACGCCCGAGTACGCCATCATCTCGTCGTGCATCAGCTTCTACATACCGTGCGTGGTGATGATCGGCATCTACTGCCGGCTGTACCGGTACGCGCAGAAACACGTGCAGAGCATCCGGGCGGTGACGCGGCCGCTGACCACGACGACGACCACGGCGGCCGCGTCGTCGGCCACGCTGACGGCCGTGCACCACCACACGTCGCCGTACCACGTGAGCGACCACAAGGCGGCCATCACGGTGGGCGTGATCATGGGCACGTTCCTGCTGTGCTGGGTGCCGTTCTTCTGCGTCAACATCATCGCGGCGTTCTGCAAGACGTGCATACCCGAGGCCGCGTTCAAGGTGCTCACGTGGCTCGGCTACTCCAACTCGGCGTTCAACCCGATCATCTACTCGATATTCAACACCGAGTTCCGGGACGCGTTCCGCCGCATACTCACCACCCACTATCCGGACTGGTGCTTTTGCAAGGGTTACCGGACCGTGGTGCTCAGCTCGGACGCGTCGTTCCGGCACAACCAGCGGCGGAAGCCGACCGGCGGCGGTGGCGGCTGCGATTTCGTGTCGTCCGCCTCGGCCACGGCCGTGGTCGCCGCGTCCACGGTCGTCAAGCACAACGGCAAGGCGGCCGCCGCGACGGCGTCCGCGCAGCAGCCGGGGTGCGGCGGCGCGGGCGTGCCGCCAATCACGAGCCCGAGATCGTCGGTGGCGTCGCTGCGCCAGTCGCGGCTCAACTCGTCCGAAAAGATCATCATCGAAGCCGACGAGGAGATCTGACCGCCCCGCGGTGGCCGGCTTCCGCGCGACGACATGCCTCGTTTCACCGTCGAGTATCTCGTCTGAACGCGACAACTGTTGTACGGAATCGCACGCGACGTGTTGTACAATATTATTATTCGGTTGTAATATTATTATTATTATTATTATGTAATAATCTATGACGTTATATTATTCGTCCATAAATCATTATATTTATATGCAAATAATATACCCCGATCCATCGTCCCGCTGTCCGGCAGTCTACCCGCTAGGGCTGTACCGCAAACAGAACAGGAATCGTTTTTGAAAGTCACCCTTAAAGTACGTTTTCTCTGCAGCGCCAAACGGTGGAACAGCACGGCTACTATGTCAGGACCGATGACAGTTGACGCTGGACGCCAGACGCTGCGCGGGGAAAACGTACCCAGGAAAACCGGAACCTGTGATTTGTTGCGGCGGCCATAATGTATAGGCGTTGCATTATCCGGATCGAAATGATACGGTTTTCATTGTTTCTTTTGATCATTATTTTTTTTTTTACTGGTTATAATCGGTATACAATAGGTTCTAGACGAAATTTTCATTTTTCCCAGAACCGTACCGAAACAAAAAAAAATATATAAAAAAGCCGATCTCCCCACTCCACGCATTTCCTGTCAGCGATTCTCACACCGTTCATTGCCACCAGGGCCGGCTCAAGGGGTAGTTGACGTGAGCCCACGTCCAGGACGGCATTTTGAAAACAGTGATAATGATATTATTTTGGGTGTGGCAAAATTTGATTTTGCCTAGTCCATTATTTCCATTATTTTTAGCCGGCCCCGATGATAATCATTTAACTCACAATATAGTTTAATATTAAAGTGTCCTACAGTTGAAAACCAAAAATTCACTGCTTAAATTAATATCAAAAGTTATTTATGATTTCAGGAGTTAACAACTTTTCGTTCGGATTTCCAAAGAAAGAGTTTAAAACCAAAGCCATCGAAATTGATATTTATAATATTTGTAGATATATATATATATATTTATATTATATATAGATACAAGGACCGGATGTTGATCAATCTTTCATCTTTTTTATTTGAACGTTATAGACGATGCTTCCTAATCAAAAATATAAAATACAAATCAAAGTAACAAATTTTTGTTTTGCCATTTTCCACATTTCAAGATCGGCTTTCGTAATTTCCTATACAGCTCATTTTCAACAATTTTCACCAAGAGAAAAATCATGAGTTTATGAAACGCTGTACAAATATAATACCTCGTGGAAGTAAATAAAAGAAAAACTGTTTGTCTCTTTCACTCAACTAGCGCAGTGGTAGGTACGTAGTTGTACAATAATCTTTTATTCTCATACACATTTAGGTACTGCCATTAAAAATCAAACAGATTGACTTTGCTATTGGATATCATAAAATTATCATCAATAATTTAAATTTGAGATAGTTCCCTAATCATTTTTCACTTGCGCTGTGCGATGTTAACCGCGATGACAAGACCTGATCATTACAATTTTGTTGCAATAAATTCTATAAATTTTATAATGTAATGTCTATTTTTGAGAATTTTAGAATTGTCTTAATTTATTTTCATAGGGTCTTAAAGTATCTACATCCGGGCCCTAACTATTACTGTTGTTATAATAATAATAAAAATGTAATCAAGAATACCTTTTTTTCAGTTAACCATCACACTAGATGTATATGACGCCTTAACATCGTGTTATTGTTTATCCGATACATCCGAACGCCGGATATTATTTTTACACCCAATCGGTCGGTACGGTTCCTCCACAAAAAAAAAAACACTTTGTCTTAAAATATTTTTTTTTATCTTCTGCCACTTGGACACATTGGATGTATGAGAGTTGGTACGTTTGGAACGCGTGTTTTTATGCGGACATGGAATGGTCGTCAAAAACCCGAGCGGTCCCCCATCCGATAGCTAGCAACGCCAGACGATGCTTGACTGGACCCAACATTGTAGTGCGACTGGGGCCAATTACCGGGTCCCCTCATAATAATAATACAATTGTTACAGAGGCTGCTGTCGTTTTTGCCACGGTCGACTGGCGAACCACATTTACTATACCTAAACCAGGCACCCCACATCAAATTTTGGGCCTCTGTATTAAATGTTTTTGAGGGCCCTATAAAAAATGTTTAATAAAATACAATCCATTACCAGAAATAGGGGTATCCTATAAATAATTTATTAGTACCCGAAATCAATGATTAACCCAAGGCTTAAAATAAAAAAAATTCTCAATATATTATTACAATACCTATGCGTTGATATTATAATCGTACAATATTATATTTGACATAAACTATAAGTATTCCTGTTAAAATTTTAAAAATTACAAATTTATATTTCAACGGGCCCATGTATTCCAGATCCAACAGCTCCCCTCCTCCTTGTGGTGCTCTGCAGCCTACAACTGATATAATATTTATAATATATAATATAATAATTACATAACATTATCTTAAAGGTTAAATATTTCACTACACGAATTTATAATAATAATATCTGCAGATTAAAATAGTACACTGTACGTGAATAAATAATTCCTCTGTATATTTACACGCCATTTCGGTCATGACGATTGTATTCCGACTTTTCAAAATCCATATCCATCGGGTACGTCATGTTTACACGACCCCATAAGTTTAAGGTATGAATAATAATCTGTACTCTTTTTTTTATTATTAATGTATTATATAAGTATAAATTAAAAGTGCCAAATTTTTTCTCGCATTTTAAGTTGTTAACATAATATTTTGTATCATAACTGTGTTTCTGCAATGAGTAGTTCCTATTTTAGTCGAGATGCTCGTGCATGTAAGGTACTTTACATTTGAATCTTTGGTCTTATTAAATATATAACAGTATTGCCTTTTTTATGGTTACAATAATATGTCACTTGAGGGAGCATCGGCTTGTATCTTATAATGTTATCCTATTCATTAAACATTTTTATAGAGATCGAAGTTTAGGTATAGGTAATAAGCAATCGTTTGTACGTGTAAAATATTGTAAAAAAAAAAAATAGGTGTTACATATTTTGATAGGTAGTGCAAGCGATCGGCTTTTCGTATCATGTAAAAAACAACTGCTCAATTACGTTATCCGAAATTCCATCAGGAAAATGAAATTAAAAAACGAATCTAAAAAAATTAAATCAAAAATCATTGTTCTTTTAACTATGTTCACTTCGAAAAAAAAATATAATAGGGATTCAACCTAGACTTCTAGATTGAACTGAGAATGTTGCACATCTAAGAAAAACCGACTTACGGTTGACTGTTTGGTTCACCCGTATAAAACATGATATAAAACTATTAAAATAAACTTATAATATATATATACGAACCCTATTATTCGGTATATAATTTATTCCTGTATAAAAAACAATTAAACGGTTCGAAAATAAAGTGAACCAAGACAACTAAAATCAAAACATTAAGCATCAGCCACCCAAACAGACCCTTATTTGGTTAGGACCGGCATGCCGTGATAAACACACCGGCACATCGCCTTTTACTTTGTGGGGTACTTGATGACGAAGAGTTACTTAAAATAATGCCTGTAAGTACCTACCAAGTATTAAACGTTGTTATGATAATATGCCTAAAATATTAAATTTAAATAGAAAAGCAAAGTGCGATATTATAATATAACAATAACGTTATTACATTGATATTATATCGTTGGGGTGTCTCTATCCGTCTTAACCACTTGCTATAAAAAATATTCAAATACACATTAAATACGTATTGATTTCGAACAAATTTAGTTTTTTTAGTCAGTTATACACACCTAAGCGCACTTGCTGCAGAAAAAACCATCAAAATATGTCCTCCAGGTGAAATTGACCTTCAGATATGTTCAACTGTGGATGTTCAACGTTAATAATATCATTTAAAATACGCATCAATACCTATCAAACAGTTATAATATTATATTTTAGTTTAAACCGTATTGTATTCATATCTGTAATTATAATATTATAGGAAAGCAAACGCGTTTAAATAATCCGTTTTTTTATATTCAAATGTTTTTTTCAAAAAAATCAATCTGGTCATTGGTATCCCATTGGTAGGACACGTGGTTTGTAATGCAATGGGCTTGAACGTCAAACACTCGATTTTTAAAGAATTTGTTTTGTACCCAAGATAGTGAATAATGTATAAAAAAGGGTTTCAATCGGGGGAAAAACCTAAAATTCCACTGCAGTCATATTTATAAACGTTTGCTTATTAGAAACCGAATTTACACTATAACAAGAAGATAACTTGGTCGGTGCAATATCGTTTTTCTTTTTTTGATATTAGTTTTATGACGTATTTTATGGATAAAGTATTGTCTTCTCTTACTTGTGAAAATATGGTTTCTCTTATACCTACCATTGTAGCCCACGAGAAACATTTTTTAACATACAAATGTAGGACTTGTATAGCCACTTATCGATGACTGTACCTCTACCGACTTACCTGTTGGAATTTAAAACTATATACGCACTAGTATTATTCTTAGTTTAGTCTCAAGTTATTTTAAGATCGTTTATAAAACAATATTAAGTTTTTACATTCTTTATAAATCCCATCCATTATGTGATATGTAGGTACCTATACCAACGGTTTTATGATATTGATTGCTGTGTTATTAAATTATTATTTAAATGTGTTGATAAAATATTATTTTATTTATACCTACCTACCTATTTTTTCTTATCAGCATAATTGTTGTTATTGTTATTGTTGTTGTTGTTGTTGTTTTAAACGCCATCGTCAAAATGTTCTCATTTGTACTATTATAATATTATATGATTTAATGTTGTAATATTAATCTACTTATACATCTGTGTTACGTTAATATAATAAATCTCGTATAAAGCAATTAAAACTATAACTTTTTTTTCATTATTTGTTTGTTTATTTTTTTTTCCGTGGAAGATCGAGTGACGAAAGAGGCGTTCATTTTATTTTTATTTTCATGTTCTATAAAGATAACATTTAAATCTTGAAACTTCAAAAGTTTATATGTTACAAATTAATCGAGCACAAACACAAAAAATGCACATTTTCTGTTTTCATCGTCCACATATATTTTTAATTTTATTCAAAATATTGATGTGTTAAAAGTTGCTTATTATAAACATTTGAATATATTGTATCCTTAAGTTATTCCCTAATGTGATTTATTTGTACATATATATATATTACAATATATTTAAAATAATATTAATTTAATATATTTATCAGAAAAAAAGTTTATCCATCACATTTATTATGATGATAAGAATAATCATGATGAGAACGAAAATACATTTTTGTTTGTTTAATAATATACAATATTATCAATATATTATCATAATATTATAGTCAATCTTCATTGTTACCATTAAAACATTAGTGATAAGACAACATAAAATGTAGATGTAATAATAATAATATATTATATTGCTATGTTTAAGATATTAAATGATAATAATTACAATAATGATGAAAATAATGCAATAATTAACTGCGTGGATTATTTTATTAACAATAATAGGTTTTAGCTACTGTAATGGATCCTCATTAGTAGTATATAAAATGATAAATATGTTATTTGTATGCAAATATAAATAAAGTCACTGACATTCGATGACTTTTCGAGAATCCATATTTTAGTGAAGCGCAATCATCGATCATAGGTCAAGACGAATGGAACAACCCCTCAGATGGTATGTATGGAGGTTATCATAACAACGTTATTCCGGTTACCTTAAATAGAGGAGTGATTATAGATATATGTGGAGAGTTGGAAACCAGAGACGACTACAGTACGCACTCATAGTTCAGAACTGGACCATTTTTATTAATAATAAAGTACAAGTGTTAAGTAAATTTGTGTATTTTATTATACCTTCAATTCAATTTGTGCTGAAACGGACACTTAACAACAGCACCTGCATGAAAACACGTGTTTTTCGAGTCTAATTTATGGAATCTAAATGTCCCGCAACCGACATAAATAATTTATTATTATTCAGTTTATATCAATATATTTATATTTTTCATCCGTGTAATGTAAATTATTTTTTTTAAATAGTTATAGTATAGTTAAGTGCATCCTGTTTTATATAGGTATTCTACACTACCACAATAGTCAAAAGTTTTTTAATTGCTGACTAAATATAAAACTCAAACAACTACTCGTATTTGTGTTAATTTATTATTAAGTAAGACCCAGTGAAAAACACTCAAATTTCTTACATTTCGAAAGCATAGTCCTGCCCTCAGTCATGTATTTGTCTACACAGGACAGCATTACTGTAATACTGACTTAATTCCAGCATCGATAATCGTAGGTTTTTATAATATCAATTTATATTTTTATCGAAAATTGGAATTGGTCACATAATTAGCATATTTTTCATACAAATTTGAAACGGAAAAAAACAAAGAAAAATAAATAAAAGAACAAATGCGTCTTAATATTAAAATGTATTATTGTATCAATTATTTATAATGTCTTTTTGGCAAATAAGCTTATTATTGTAATGTCATGAAGTATTCAAACAGTAATACAACTGTCAGTATCAATTTGTTTCTTGCTGGAAAATCCATTTTTAAAAATACCCAACTATAGCCGTTTGGTTCTGGTACGTTTAAGAATTAATAATATAATAATGTTCAATGTTCATTTAATAGATACTAAATAAAAACTTAAAAACATACATTACATAATATTTTTTTTTCTGCATAATTTAATTATAAGGCTAGATTATTATATAAAATAAATAAAAGATTTCATTAATGCATAAGACCAACTATATGGTTCGTCTATATCCAATCTCAATTATATCCTCCTTCTCTCCTTCTGGCATCTGAAAATTAAAAAAAAAACTATAGGTTGACATTTTGGAAAAAATATATTTATATATATTAGTAGAATAAACTAGAAAGTAATAAAAAAGGAGAGAAAATAAGATTATAACACTCAACTATTCAGTAGGAGTCGATTTACTTCATTATATGAGTACTGTAGCCCGTAGGCCTTGTCACATTCGAATTTAATGATAAATCAATGCATACAAAAAACGATTCTATGTTAATAAATTTAATAATTATTATTATTTTATTTTTTTAATTATTATTTTAATATTTTGAAATACAATAAAGTAACTATGAATTTTGAGTATTTTAAAACGTACAGACAATTTGCAATTTTAAAATACTTATAACTCGGGTTCACATTTCAGATGATTTTTCGGACTGGATGAACAACACAGATAAAATGTATTAATTTAAACATGACATATTTACTTTTGGATTATTTGGCAAATATTTCTAGAAAATAAATCTAAATTTTAGTTTATATTTTTAATTTGTTGAACAGTTATTACAAATTTACACTTCAACACATTATACCTATAGTAAGTAGGTGCTGCATACTAAGTATCTTTAATTTCTTTAAATTGTAAATATAAATACATATGGAGAACCATATTGTATTAATAGTATACATTTTTTTTTTGTGACGAACCAAATTATTTTTGTTTTTAACAGAATGAAATAGACGGTGTTCGATTGCATTGTCAACAATATCTAACACTAATTAAAAGATCAAGGATCCCTGCAGAATAAACAACACAGATTATATGTAGAAATTATAACATGAAATATTTACCCATTGAACCTCCTTCGTTCTTTTCTAGAAAATAAATCTTAATTTAGTATAAATTTTATACTAGGTTTATACTAAGTTTTTAGTTTAATTATTGAGTTTTTATTTTTATCGAAATGTATAAAAGCCATAGTAGATTATTATGTTGGATAAAAGGAATCCTTTGTACACATTTCATAATTATTAATTACATATTTTTGTAAACGATGTAAATTAATTTCTAAATTATAGCATCAAGAAATATATAAATCTAAGTTTACAAAAAAATGGAATTTAGAACAAATGATTACGACTAAAATAATTACAGTAACACACAAATTTAAGTATGTGTGTAGAGGTAGAAATAATTGTAACACTAAGCAAAATTACAGTTCTTTAAAATGTTCTCTGAATGTTTATGTTAACGTTTTCTTTAAGATTTTCATACAGAAATGTCTTAAAATGCATGTTGAACTATATGCAAGGGTGTATTAAATTTTCAGTTTTAATTAATTTTTTTTAAATTAAGGTAAATTATTACATTTTCTCTAGGTCAAAAGTTTTGAAAATATTATGCTCCTTGTAAGCTGCTGTTATATTATTATTACTATATTACTATATATTATATTTTTTTACTATATTACTATATACTATTTAAAATGTCGATTTTCATTTTGGTAAAATATTTTAAAAATGTCATGTTGTATGTTCTTACGTATGTTTTTGTTAGTGAAAATTCAAAACAAAGTTGAACGTAAATCCACATTATTTTTTTTTATTAGGGTCTGGTTTTCAGATTATAACAATCTAATACAGTAGTAAAAATGTATGAAATGCTTAACTTTTGTAACTAAAGCTTGATAATTTAAAACAAAATTATAATTCAAATTTGGACGAAATTATTTTATTTTTTTCATTCAAAATTATGTGACCTACTGTACAGCAGATCATTACCCTTTTAATCGTGTTTTTGTATTTAAAATGTATAGACGTTTGAGCTACATATTGTAAATTATACAATTTTTTAATACTGAAAATAACAAAATTTAAAATCTGATTTAAATTTATTTTTAGAAAACATTTAACTGTAAAAAACATAACTAAATAAGTCAATCCCTATTCCCTGATATGGTAAAATATTAAAATTTATTAAAATTTATGACAATAAGATTTTTGGACAGAATATACTACGCAGGTAATAATATGTAAAAGTTATGACATTAAATATTTACTTTTAAAATCTTCGGTAGGTACGACTAGAAAATAAGTATAAATTTCAGTTCATATTTAATTTAAGTTTAATTTCTTATAGTTATTACAAATTTAAGCTTGAACACATTATATTACCTATTTTATAATTTTAATAATTAATTCATATATTATCCGAATATTTTACATTTTACATTTTTTTGTTCAATATTTTTAAAGTAATTTTTCAAACTTCTAAAGATTTTGTTTTCTTATACTGGAATTATCATAATACATCATTCAATAAATAGGTATATCTGTATGCTTATATGAATATAGTTTGTATTTTTCGTAAAGAAATATTACGATTTTTTTACGTAGGTATAGATTATAATCTTTCAATTTTTGACTTTGCTTTGTCTATTATTATTAAAATTATTGTTTAACAGCAAACAATTAATATTCATATGTTTATATACGTATACATTTAAATATGCTCGTCACGCCTCATTCAGCTTTATGTTACTCGGCGCATAATAAAGCACGTCATGCAGGTTTATACTATGTCTGATGGTATACCTATACTATACCGGCTGAGGTTATAATATATCGTATTAACTTATACATTTTGGATGTTAAGCAAACGGCCGTGATGTCAGAAATTCGTGGAGAGATATGTTTTTAAGGACGTTTAAAGTTATTCGTTAGAATAGGAAATATTAACTACCAAGTTGCACTTATAGACGTTTACCGCGACACCGCCGTGTCCACGGTTCTTCGCTGGTGAAGTGCCTACCCGATGTGTTGTCGCATATTCTCTGTGGTCCAACGCAGTCAGATTTGCATACATAGGTGACTAAGTTGAAAGTTCATCGATTTTCATTCGAGGTCACCTATACGGGTGCAACTTATATAATTTTAACGACTCTGTCTTCAAAATCAGAACCCACTTTGAGCAAACGGGGTGTTGGTCTAGGGATCTCCTAGAGCGATTCTCGGAGAGCTAGGTAGTAAATAAGTAAACAATTAAAATATACTATTAAAACTAAACAATA